AAAAAAGTGCCTAATTGGGGCCCTGGCAATCCAGAACCCAAACAGTCTGAGAATAGTTCAGACACATGGAACTATGTAATCCAGAACAACATTGTTGCCTTCAGAAATGTAAATAATCACTAATCAGCAGCAAAGAAATCTTTGCTGCCATCTAATGATTGTTCAAATTTTGCAGCTCAAGTCTATTAGTGTGAGCCCTAGCTTCCTTGAATTTAGGGCAATCATTTATGTAGGGATATTTATTTTAATTGAAAGGAACATGAACTGGCTTTTTCCTTCTTTTAATTTCACATAATCTTAGAGTCCGTTATTACTGTGTTTCCCCCAAAGTAAGCCCTACCCCGAAAATAAGTCCTAGCTTGATTTTGGGGGTGGGTGGGCCTAATATAAGACTTACCCCCAAATAAGCCCTAGTTTGGGGGCAAGACACACACTTAAAAATCAAGCTAGGGCAGGGGTAGGAATGTGGATCTGTTCCATACACCCCACACCTACTTACCAGGCAGCCAGGCCTGTTCTTCTATAGCATCTTCTGCAACCAGGCCTGCATATCTCAGTCACAGGCCTTTCTGCAAGACCTATACAGCCAAGGACTGAGCTATGGATTGAATCCATTGCTCGGTACTTGGCTGCAGAGGTGTTCTGGAAAGGCCTGACTGCAAAATGCAGACCAGAATGTAGTCACAGAAGAAGTGGACCGGCTGGGTGGGGCTGTTAGTGTCGGAGGTGAGTAAGACATCCCCCGAAAATAAGACCTGATGCCTCTTTTGGAGGCAGAAAAAAAAGACCTGGTTAAAAATACATCGATATACATGTAGTCCTCACAAATGTCTCGTTTAACAACTATTTAGAGTTACAACAGTGATGTTCCTCAGTCATGTGACCACCATTACTGTTAGTACATATTATCCTTTGTCTGATCTGATGATTTTCTTTTTTTTCTCCTTTGCAAAGCAGAGAGATTGGAGAGGAAGGCATTACAAAAGAGTAAGCAGGCACACAATTGGAAATACACACAGAAAGCAATATGCTTGTGCCATCAGCTGCAACTGTGCTAAGCAAACATCCTGGTGTATTTATTCCCCCTTGTATGCTTGTTTATTCTCTTGTAATACCTTTGCTCCAATCCCTCCACTCTATGAGAAGATGTGGAGAAAATGTCAAGCAATTTTTCTAGGCAATCTCTCCTGCATCTGACTCATTCTGCCTGTCCGCAGATTGTTGCATCAAGTCAGAATATGACCATGATCAAGGGATATTAGTGTGTTATGGGCTCTAGAAAAGCTATACAAAAATAAGGCTTGTTCAGTGAAGTTTTATAGTATGGGTGTATAGTTTAAGTTATCCATAAAGCTTTAAAAAAAACTGAAAAAGAAATGATAGTACATGTATTTAGCAAATATCAGTGCAATCGGTCATCATAGATACTCATACAAAAAACTAATAGTTTTTTCCTAATAAGATAGCAAGCCTTATCAAGTGGAACTGAAGTTGGAGAGGTTGGTTTGCTATGGGTAAGTGTGCTGGTTTGGGGGGAAAAAAAGGAATAGAAAGAATAGCTGGTACTGTTTATTTAGAAATAACTAGTTGGGCCCCATGTTCTGCTCTGTACACACTGCCCTTGAAAAAGAGCGTGCACATCCATACTAGCCAGTGTTCAAACCCAGATCTGCTAAGAGACAGAAAGAATGCTTTAATATATTATTACAGGTACCTGTTTCAGTTGGCATTTATTCTGAAAGGGTTAAATTGATTTGCTGTTGATTAGAAAGATACTTGAATGAGGATACAGAGGTCTAAGAAAAGAAGGGGAAAATTTTATGAACAAAATGTCTTTCAGAAAGCAAAATGTGCAAGACAGTATAATTTGTTCCATTTTTGTGGGCTGTCACTTTTATTTAGCACTACATATTTCACTAAACCATTTTATTCTCCACGAGAGTTTTCCTCATTCCTACTCTGTGTACATTTCGCCACAAGCTTTTGTAAACAATGCATTAGGAACTCTAGCTGACCAGATTATATGGGCTGAAGAAAAACATCCTGATTCACTCCTCATTGTGCAAGGTGATTTCAACAACGCTAACTTAAGCCAAGAGCTGCCAAAACTATCTCACTAGAGGAAAGAATACATTAGACCACTGCTACACAACACTAAAAGATGCTTATTGGTGTTTACCATGAGCAGTTGTGGGACACTCTGATCATTGTATGATTCACCTTGTATCTGTTTATAGACAAAGGCTGAAAACTATAAAACCAACAACTAAATCAGTGAAGTCTTGGATTGAGGAGGCAAAGCTAAAACTACAGGTTTGCTTTGACTGCACTGATTGGAAAGTTTTCAAAGATACCTCTGCAGACTTGGATGAATTCATAGATACTGTAACATTATATGTTAGTTTTTGTGAATACCTATGTGTACCAACCAGGAACTTGCTAATATACAGTAACAATAAGCCTTGGTTACAGCTAAAGTCAAGCAACTACATCATACCGAAGAGGAAGCCTACAGGAAAAAAGATAGAATGCTGTACAATCAAGCCAGAAATATATTAACAAGGAAGATCACAGCAGCAAAAAGAAACTACTCTGAAAAGCTAAGGGATCCATTCTCAACAAATGATCTAGCAAATATGTGGAAAACTCTTAAAAATATCACCGGCTACAACAAACCTTCTCTCCATGCTGAAGGAAATTGACAACTGGCAGATGACCTGAATGTGTTTTATTATACATTTGAGAGGAAACTACTATCATCTATCTGCACCATCCCCATCTCAGATACACCAAGAACAGCCATACCTCCTACACCTGACCCCATCCCCTTGGGTCCCCCACCTCTTGTGATCATAGAAAATGATGTGCAAGGTCTATTTCACAAACAAAAGCCTGGAAAAGCACCAAGCCCAGACAAGATAACCTCTTCTTGCTTGATAACTTGTGCTGATCAATTGGCCCCATCTTCATTCAAATCTTTAATAAATCACTAGAGATGTGCTATGTTCCTTCTTGCTTCAAATGCTCTACTATCATCCCAGTACCAAAGAAATCCTCCATCAAAGAACCGAATGACTACAGACCGGTTGCTCTGACATCTGTAGTTATGAAAACCTTTGAAAGGTTAGCCCACCTGAAAATCATCACAGATCCACTATTAGACCCCTTGCAATTTGCCTACCGAGCAAATAGATCAGCAGATGATGCTGTTAATATGGCTCTGCACTATATTCTACAACATCTTGAATCTCCAAAGACCTCTGCAAGGGTCCTTTTTGTAGATTTCAGTTCAGCATTCAATCCTATCATTCCAGATATTTTTCTCACTAAACTAAATCAGCTAGCCGTGCCTGACCACACCTATAAGTGGATCATAAGCTTTCTATCAGACAGGAAGCAGCAAGTGAAGCTAGGCAAAATCACATCAGACACCTGTACAATTAGCACAGCCCCCCCCCCCGCAGGGCTGTGTGCTCTTTCCACTTCTCTCTACATACCAATGACTGCATCTGAAAAGATCCACCTGTTAATGTACTGAATTTGCAGATGATATAACAATGGTTGGGCTCATTTGAGACAACAACGAATCGGCATACAGATGGGAGGTTGAACAACTAGCCTTGTGGTGTGTCCAGTACAATCTTGAACACATTCAAAACTGTAGAAATGACATTAGACTTTAGGAGAAACCCTACTATTCTACAAACTCTTACAATACTAGACAACATAGTATCAACAGTAGAGACCTTCAAGTTTCTAGGTTCTATAATATCTCAAGATTTAAAATGGATACCTAACATCAAAAATGTAATAAAAAAGCACAACAAAGAATGTTCTTTCTGTGCCAACTCAGAAAGCTCAGGCTACCTAAGGAGCTGCTGATATAATTCTACAAAGGAATTAATGAGTCTGTCATTTGCCCCTTTATAACTGTCTGGTTTAGAACTGCAACCAAACAAGACAGACACAGACTTCAATGAATAGTTAGAACTGCAGAAAAAACAATTACTACCAGCCTGCCTTTCATTGAGAACTGTATACTGCACAAGCAAGCAAGAGCTGTGAAAATATCCACAGACCCCTCACATCCTGTACATAAACTATTTCAACTTCTTCCCTCAAGACGATGCTACAGGGCATTGCACACCAGAATGACTAGACATAAGGACAGTTTTTTTCTTCATGCCATCACTCTGCTTAACAACTAATTCCTACAACAATGTCAAAATACTAGTAAAGCTGTATTACTATGATACTCCTTATCTTTCCTATTACCCATCCTTATTTTCTTATGACTATAACTTGCTGCTTGTATCTTACAATTTTCTTTTTTTTTTGGTACTCTAGTATGATTTATGTTGTTTGCTTAGCTAGTACTCTATGACTATCACTAAGTGTTACATTTTATGATTTATGATGAAGTGTTGTATTTCACGATTTATGATGAATGTATTTTCAGGTTGTATATGATCATGATTACCACTATTACTTGTATGTACACTGAGAGCTTATGCACCGGAACCAAGTTCCTTGTGTGTCCAATCACACTTGGCCAATAAAGAATTCAATTCTAAAGAATTCTATTATCAGAGAGTTATAATTTCTTGTATCAGTTTGTACATTGGATATTTTGCATTTGAAAGTACTTTTGTACTTCATACATTTTATATCTGCCTGAAAGTCCACAGTTTTACTGTTGCTCTATTAGGCAACCATGAAGAAATAGGGGCAGTAATACTAAGATACATAACTTGCAATAGTTCATGGGATTAGTGACCTTAGGTATATGAAATGCTTCGAATGGTCCAAGGTACTTAATAAATTAGAAGTAATAGGAAGGTAAATACATGCTAAATAGTATAAAATATATTTCCCAACTATAAAAATTACTCGCTGTTTTTCTTGTTGCTATGCTAGGTAGAATTGGTTAATTATGCTGTTTTTGTTAACATGCAAAAGTATAAAGTGCTATGACAAATGTTTTCTGCATTTTCAAACAGCTGCCACCAACTTTGCATTGCAATTTGAAAAGAAGAATTGTCGAGAGATTCAAGAAATCTTTATTCAGTCAGCAGAGTAATCCATGTAATTTGAAATCTGAGATTAAAAAGGTATAGTATTCAAAAGGACACTTCCACAATTATGGATTTTTTTATTATTTGAAATATGGGCTTTATATTCAGAGGAATTGAAGCATTTTCAAAGTTTAAGATGTTCAGCATTTAAACTCTTCATGTTTTATTCAGAATAAGTGGGGACTCAAATTATTATTTAAAGAATGTCTAAACTTTAATTTATATGTAGTTATAACAAACATTTAGTATCATGCTTAAATAGGACTTAATTACTGTTTTATGAGATAAGCCATTTTAAAGTTTGGAGTCTGTTTCTAAATCCTCATTTCTCCATATTATTCAGCAAAAAATTCAGTAGGAACTTATGAGAAATAAGTATTACATAACAAATTATTACACCCACTTTGATTCCTTCCTTTTATATTTGCATCTCCTTTTCTATTTAAACAATTTCCTCTCTTCAAATAATAAAGTCCAATCCAGTCAAAAAAACATTACCAGAAATAACCATCATTAAAAATCACCAAAATAGCAACCCATTAATTGTTATAAAAACCAATGTAAGTATTACTAACTATATTATTTCAAATTTGAATCCTTCCTTATATATTTATATCTCTATTTCTATTTAAACAATTTCCCCCATTTCCTCTCTTTAAATATTCAGTCCCAATCCCTCTTTTTCTCTCTTTTCTCCAAATTCATGTCTTCATTGTCTGAACCCTTTTGTAATTTCTGTGGCAACTCTATTTAATCCATTTTGCAAATCCAATACACGAAAATAATCCACAATGCCCTTCTGATTTAGTAGTCATATATTATATATATTTTTTAAATTTTAAACCATCATCTTCTTTCATCTATTATTTCCATCTCTCACTTGTAACCTGTAATTTTTAAATCCAACTATAAGTCCATTTTATTCATTAGGGCTTGTTCTTCTTCATTAACACCTTCTGATCCATTACAGAGTTAAATGGCTTAAAAACTCCTGCACTCACTTATCCATCATTTCTTTTAACGTAACCATCTGATGCATTTTGGCATTCAACTTCAAAATCAAAGTATTAACAAAAGGAATTTTCCAATGAGAAAGGATCCTTTTATTCTTCTGAATCTTCCTTTAAATAAATCTATTTGAATTTTTAATTCATTTAAAACTTTTTAAATCAACACTGTAATCAAAGTTTTGCTGTATATCCCAAAAAGAAAATTCTTATAAAACTTTAGGCATGTATTTTTTTTTTTCTTAATCAGTTAGAGGAGGAATCACCCAGCAAATAAAACCAGACTTGCAAATTTTCAATCTTTAACAAAGAATTTTTTAAAAAGTAAACTCTAAAATGATTTAAAAAGAAGAGATAGATTGTATCTTCTGTTCATAAAATGCTATATTAATAGCTCTGAATTCAATGGAATATCATAACTTCCAGTTGTTTCCAAAAGACTACTAAAACATTCATTTCTGCTATCTACTCACAAAAAAGGAAGAGAGAGAAAGAGAGGGGGGGGAGGGAGGAGGAAGGAAGGAAGAAGAAGAGAAAGAAAAAGAAAGAAAGAAAGAAAGAAAGAAAGAAAGAAAGAAAGAAAGAAAGAAAGAAAGAAAGAAAGAAAGAAAGAAAGTTATCCAAATGCATATAGGAGATCCTAAGATCTCTCCTTGATCAGGAAAGAGTTTTCAGCAGTCCAGCTCCAACCCCTATCTGCCTTTCATAGTAATGCTTTCCACTTTCCTTAGAATGTTAGCCATTCCTTATCAGAAGCTTTTTTGAGTTCAGTGCATTTCTTCTGAACATCTATGTGTGATCTTTTTGGCTGCTGTTTGAAATTACATTGCTACTGCATGCCAAATATAAAGGAGAAAAAAGTTAAATAACTTCATATAGAAAAAGTCATTTGGAAATATTTCTGGACTACAGCCTCTTGTGAAGTTTATAGTCAAGTTTTTACTCTTGATTTTTTCTTAACACAGGTTGGTCCTCTTTTAGTTTCAATTATTTTGGATACAATTTTCATATTCAGATATGTGATACGATGAGTTAGTTCTTCCCTCAGGAAGAAATCTCTAAATTTTTTTCTCTCTATCCTTCAATCTCATGGATAATATAATATAATGGATAATGTCAATACCATTTTTTTACAGAAAAAAATCTGCCTGTATCTTTATAAAGTGGAAAGAGATAGGGAAACCTCTCCTGGACTCAGAGTGTTTGCCTTTCTGTGACTAGACCTTGTAACACTACTGATATCAGAAGAAAATACATTTTTAAGTATAAATTGATGCTAAGAAGCTAATGGAGAGTTTAAAACAAAATGGAATAAAGAATCTATCTATATAAAATATGCATTATTTTATATTTACCATTTTGCTCATTAAATATTTGAACTCAGTCCTGAACCCCATTCTCTGGCAATCTGTTCTAAGGCAGGTGTGAATTCTAGAATATTTGGATTCTGCTTTATTAGAAAAGCTGTTGCTTTTCAGTGATAGGATACCATGCTTGTTCAAGTATGTGTGCAAAGGAGAATTTACAGTTTTATTAGATGAGCAGGATATTTGTGGCCCTTGTTAAAACCTCATAAAGGTCATTCTTCCTAAATCAGATGGAAGAGCAACCATTCCACTAATCTAGCATGAAGCTTATGTTGTGGGTCATTCAGCAGAATTGTCTTAGGCTTGGAGTTAATCCATATCATGTCTATGATAGAATTATGTGTATTATGTGTATTCAAGTTGATTTCCATTTTAGAACAGATCTCTAGCGCTAATTATTTCCTGGTAAAACATTTATGAAATGAAGAAAATAGAGTTTTCATTCCCATTTTATCTTTTTTTAGATACTTCAAGGTTCCCCAGAGTTGATTGAGCCTAATTTTTTGACGTCAGATTGTCATTTGTTGCTTCACTCTTCAAGTGGCAGTACTTTAGTCCTAGATGACAGACCTGGTAAGTCTAGCAAAAACCACATTGCTTTGTAGTTATTTATGTTGATAATATCCAGCAAACATGAATAATTATTAATAAAAGCTCATTTAGACCAACAGGTTCAACTGTCTTCTGTGGACCAAATCAGTATTTTTTTCTATCCTTTATATAGCAACTGCAGTGTACTTGGCTGATCATAATCATCAAAGATCTGGTAGTAATATCCCATTTTGAATCATCTAATTTGAAAATAAAGCACATTAACTATGTGTGTTCACCATGTATATTGATAGCTATCTTCTAGTTACACATGATGGTTCTATTCCACTGAATTTATGAACTTTCCTAAGAAAGTCCTATTCATTAATACCCTCTTCAGCCTCCTCTAGCAAACTCCTCTTTCAAATCTATTAATCATGAATTCCAATCCATCTAGTTTAGACATGTCAAATACAAGGCCCAGGGGCCAGATGCGGCTCGCAAAGTGGTTTCATGTGGCCCGCGAAGCCATCCTGGAAACAGTGAGGGAACAGCCCCCGCTGCCTTGGTCCTGGCCCAGGCCGGCCAGGAGTCAATGTACAATTTTGTGGTGGCCATCTGTGCTGAAACACATTCAGTCTTAGCTCCACAAGGCCGTCTGGAAACAGCAAGGAACCAGCCCCTGCCACGTCGGCCCAGCTCCCTAGGTGCATGCTGGGGAGGTGTCACCCTTTGTGAGGAATGAAGAAATGCACCATCACCTGGAAGTGGCCAGCAAATGGCCTTCGCCTACTTCACATATCTGGCTTGATGGGCTCCGGGAGACAGGTTTCGGCAGGCAGCAGAGCACTCTCCTCATAGTGCCGAGAGGCTGAGCCGGGCGGTACAAATCCAAAAAGAAGCACACCACTGCCCAGCCCCCAGCCTGCCCGGTTTTGCAGGCAGTGGGGCGCTCTCCTCACAGCGCCAAGAACTGAGCCGGGTGGTGCGAATCTGATGAGAAGTGCAATGCTGCCTAGCCCCCAGCCCGCCCAGTTTCAGGAGGCAGCAAGGTGCAAAGCTGGCGAGCTTTGCACCACCTGGCCCAACCTTTTGGCGCTATGAGGAGACATCCCGCTGCTTGCCAAGACCAGGCAGGCTGGGGGCTGGGCAGCATTGCACAGGTAACGTTGACTCTCATGCTGCTCATGGCATCCTCTCCCCCAGAGCCCACCAAGCCAGATATGTGAAGTAGGTGAGGGCCATTTGCTGGCCACTTCCAGGCAACTGTGCATTTCTTCATTCCTCACGAAGAGTGACACCTCCCTAGCTGCGTTTCTTGCCTGTTTTTCTCCCTCCATCATCTCAAATATTTCCTACCACTCTGTACTTAGGAAGGAAGGAAGAAAAGAAGGAAAGGGAGGGGCTGAGGGAAGCCCTGCCTTAGTCCTGCCCTGCTGCCCTTTCAACATCCCCTTGCCCCCTCCTCCTGGACTATCCTGGGGGTCTCCCTTCCTATTGCTAAGGAAGCTTTGGATACAAAGCCGGGTCTCCTCCCATGGAGAGGGAATGGGGCTCCCTCTGACTTTGCCTCGTACCCATCATGAGCAACCTGGCTAAGGAGAGCAAGCACAGCAGCAGCAGTCTTGAGGAGGAGGTAAGTGCAGCTGAGTGCTTCCTTGGGGAAGTGGGGCTGGGCTTGATGTTGCAGGTGCTCGAGGGCCAGGCTGGGCATTTGACCTCTGCTGCCCAGTGCTCCGGGCAGCCCGCACACCATCCAGCCCCCCCACATGGCCTGAGAGGAACAGTGAGGCTCCTCCAGTTGACTATGCCTTGGCACTTGCCCTGGTCCCACCCCCTTCTGCCAAAGACCCTTAGATCTGTCACACTCCTGCCCAGGCCCCACAGGCACCCTTGACGCGAAAAATGTAGAGCTGGCCATGCCCACCCAGTAGGCCACACCCACTCCATCCACGCCCACCCAGTAGGCCACACCCACCCTGGCCACCCCCCCCAAGGGCAACTGCAATGCTGATGAGGCCCTCAATGTAATTGAGTTTGACATCCTTGATCTGCATGGCTGATTTAATACAGTTGTTTGTATCTGGATGTTTTCTTTAGGATGATTTGAAATTGTGATAAATTCACAAACCTTTTATCTATTTTTTCATTTAAAACTTGTAAGTTGGCAAACATCTTTTTTTCAAAAATTTCCAAAAGAAATTTTCAAAAAAAAAATGTTAAATTCATCTGAGTCCCATCTCTCTTTTATATCTCCTTTTGGGGGCATTGTAGAACATATAACAGAATAACAGAATTGGAAGGTACCTTGGAGGTCTTCTAGTCCAACCCCCTGCTCAGGCAGGAAACCCTGTACCATTTCAGACAAATGGTTGTTCAACCTCTTCTTAAAAACTTCCAGTGTTGGAGCATTCACAACTTCTGGAGGCAAGTCATTACAGTGATTAATTATTCTGTCAGGAAATTTCTGCCTAGTTCTAGGTTGCTTCTCTCCTTGATTAATGTATAAAGTATATAATATTCAAAGTCCTTAATTTATTCTTGCTTAGGGCTTAATATAATTCAAATGCCTCTTATAACCAAGCATTCACAACAGAATGTAAACAATTCTTTTTTAAGGACAAAAAGGGTAGAAGTTCCATTACAAATTAACAGAAAAAGCTAAGACAAAGATTTTTACAGCAGAGAATTAAAAAAGAGGGGGAGTTCCCATCCCCCTTTAAAATAAAAAGATAATATATACAAAAATAAAATGAAGCAATGAATTCTTTTAGAAAAATAAGTAAAATACAAAATCTCTAGAGTAGAAAATCTGGTATAAGTCAGATCAAATAACTTTCACTGCAAAAAGAAAGCAAAACAAGAAAACAAAACCCCCTCAGGCTGCCAATTTCCTTGTGGCAAAAGGGAAAGTACTTGAAAGCTCTGAAATAAGATGATGAAAGTTTACATTTGTAATAAAGCAAAGGGGATAAGCAAATAAGCATTCAGCCAGGCTATTAACAATTACGTTTCAAAAAGTGATATTAAAAAAAGAAATTGCCTAACAGTATAAACAGCTGCAAGAAAAGATGCACATCCAACCCTTTGGCTGCACTTACTGAGAGTTGAAATCACCTAGATTTCTCTTTTCAGGCAAGTACTTGGGAGTTATCATGGTCATTCTTAGTTACTCCTATTCAAATCTAGGGAGCCGGCTTTGGCAGCAGGGTCAGATGTGACTAGAATAGAACAGAATAGAAAAACAGAGTTGGAAGGTACCTTGGAGGTTATCTAGTCCAACCCCCTGCTCAGGCAGGAAACTCTATACGATTTCAGACAAATGGCTTCCAGTCTCTTCTTAAAAATGTCCGGTGCTGGAGCATTCACAACTTCTGAAGAAAGATTGTTCCACTGATTAATTGTTCTAACTGTCAGGAAATTTCTCCTTAGTTCTAGGTTGCTTCTCTCCTTGATTAGTTTCCACCCATTGCCTCTTATCCTGCTTTCAGGCGCTTTGGAGAATAGCTTGACTTCCTCTTCTTTGTGGCAGCCCCTGAGATATTGGAACACTGCTATCATGTTCCCCCTCATCCTGCTCTTCATTAAACTAGACATACCCAATTCCAGCAATCGTTCCTTATATGTTTTAGCCTCCAGTCCCCTAATCATCTTTGTTGCTGTTTACTGTACTCTTTCTAGAGTCTCAACATCTTTGTGGCAACCCCTGAGATATTGGAACACTACTATCATGTCACCCCTAGTCCTTCTTTTCATTACCCAATTCCAGCAACTGTTCTTTATATGTTTTAGCTTTTTGTTGCTCTTCTCTGCATTCTTTCTAGAATATTAACATCTTTTTTACATCATGGCGACCAAAACTGGATATAGTATTCCAAGTGTGATCTTGTTTTGTTGGCATGGAGAAAAAAAACACCTCACTGTTCAGCGTGACATTTTCTGGGCCTCAGCAGCAACTCCATCTCTGAATACAGTGTGGTATGGTGTAAGGATTAACCTTTACTGTATGTATTCATTTAAGAAGTCCAAGAAGGTTTTTGCTCATATTTCATGTTGCGTTTGATTAAACATTTTATTGCTTTATTTTATACATAATGTATTTCCTCTTATATATATATCATAGTGGGAATTATATTATAGGCATCATATATGTGTTGCCAGTAAATCACCAATAATAACAATACAAACATAAACACCATAAAATTCTATTTTTATACACTAGAGAACAACAGTCACTTTTATACATAGAGTAAAACAGTCACTTTTTGCACAATTCCTTCTCAAAGCATCCCAGCTTGTATTTCTTTTAATTGTTTTGAACTATAGCTACGGAGTTAGAGCTTTGGATCAGGACTCAGTTTCAAATTCCCACTCATCTGTGAAATCCTATATCTATAGACTAGAGAACAGTATCACTCATAGAACAGTCACAATACCACTCATACGTAGAACAGCCTGCAAAGATGAAGTGAGGAAAGCTAAGGCTCAAAAAGCTAAGGCTTGTGACCAAAGTCAAAAATAACAAAAAAAAAAATCTTCTTTTAACATGTAAAAAACAAGAAAAAAGTTAAGGAAATGATTGGTCCATTAGTGGGGGAAAGAAGGTGACAAGCAACAGGGAGAAAGCAGAACTATTTAACTCATTTTTTGAATCTGTCTTTACATAAAAAGAAAAAAACAGTCCAACCTATCAAAAACACCCCAAGGTTCTCAAGGAACTGGGAGATGTGATCTCAGAACCACTGAACTACATTTTTCAAAGATCCTGGAGCACTGGGGAACTACCAGAGGACTGGAAAAAAGCTGGTGTAGTTCCCATCTTCAAAAAAGGGGAAAAATAGATCCAGGAAACTACAGACCTATCAGTCTGACCTCAATACCTGGGAAGATTTTGGGAAAGATAATCAAACAACGAATCAGCGAACACTTAAAGGCAAACAAAGCCATTATGAAAAGCCAACATGGGTTTGTTAAAAACAGATCATGCCAGACAAATCTTATTGCATTCTTTGACCAAGTGACAAAATTAGTGGATCAGAGGA